AGACCTAAACCTTGAAACCCTCAATCCTAAACCCTCAAACCCTTAAGCCTGAACACTAAATGTCCCTTAAAAAACTTAAGCCTAAATCCTTAAACCCTTAAACCCTTAAGCCTATAAGCCCTACACCTTTGAACTCTTAAGCCTAAACCCTGAACCCTTAAACTCTCAAGCCTAAGCCCTTTGAGCTATAAGACTTAACCACACCTCAAGGCTCCAAGGACTGTTTTGGGCTTTCTTGTCGGCTGAGGTTCGTGCTCCGTACGCGGGCCCAAGGGCATTAGGACAACCCTAAACCCTAAACCCTCAAACCCTGGCACCATCAGTCCGTCAATTCAAAGCTGCAGACAGACCGCACTTGAGGAAAAGACTGCCAAGAAGACAGGTAGGTATATGGGTGGTTGTCAAAATTGTGGCCCCTTTTTGGGTACCCTAAATATTAGATGCCGTATTGTTTATAATAGGGATCCAAAAGGGGACCATAATTTTGACAACCACCCATATGACGAAACGCTAATGATATCTACGAGTAGTTACACAGAACTGTAGGTCATAACCCGGTTCTAACTTGAGTGTTTTCCTCCAAACTGCAGGATATCCCCCCAGAACACCCATGACTGACATGAAGACCCTCAATTCCCCAATCTCTGCCTCCAAGGCAAGAATGTCAACTCACAGACCCTAAGCCCTAAAACCTTAACCCCTAAACACTAACCCTAAAACCCAAACCTTGGGTCGTTCCCCCTTACAGTAACTGTTGCCACAATGGGTTATAGGAGTTATAAGCGCCCCCTTAATAAAGCCCCTTTAAGGACAGTTACTGGGTGGGGGAATGACCCAACCCTAAAACCCAAAGCCCTGAACCGCCCTGCCGAGGAGCCAAATATCAAAAAGTGCTTGCCGCCACTGCGACCAGCATCGGCAATGCAAGCGAGGTTGGGCACGATGTTTCCTCACATCTGCGTTTCGGGTTTAGGGCTTGGCGTCATTATTCAGGGGCACAAAATCCCTATGGATATGTGGTACAGAATGGTGCTTTCGCATAATGGTAACTAAGCTTATAAGATATGTAACAGCATCCCGGTTTCCCAAGTGCCAAGATATGCTTCGGACCCGAACAATTACATATCTAGATTCCCCAAAGACACCTTCATATCAACCCCTACATCTCAAATCATTTAGCCCAGACCCCTGATCAATAAACCCCCTTCCCTTAATAGGGACTATGATAAGGATCCAAAAGTTAAGGCCCTTAAAGGGAGGGGGTTTATGAATCATGTGTCTACATTTGGAAGGGTGCTCACCAGTCTGATGATGTACAGTGGCGATTTCAATCTTCCCCCGCACCAAAATGACTCCGAGCGATTGCAAAACCAAAGCCTGAGAAATCCACAACAACCAGGGTTTAGGGTTTAGGGTTTAGAGGTTTCGGGTTTATGGTCTAGAGTTTAGGGTTTTAGGGTTTAGGGACAGCCTCCTGAAACATACCTCCCCTGATGTTTACTACTCAGGCAAGAATCTGTCAGGTTGCAATCCGATGGCGTGGACAAGCTTCGAACATGTGACAAGCAACTCGCTGCCACTCCAGATTCGATACCTGCCTGTAGGCTCATAATTTTCTACCAATTACAGGTGTGGAGTTTTCAATATTGTTGGATCTATTTTGGGTTTGGGTCTTGGGTCCCCCTATTTTGGGAAATTTCCAGCAGGGTATATGGACAGCACATGGGGATAATGGCGGTCCGTAGATTATTCGCGGGATCTTGCAGCAACCTTCTCTGGAGGATGATGCGGGGTTAAAGTGGGGAGCGCACGGTGTAATACCTGCTCGTACGATTCGGCATCCCTAAACCCTATAAACCCTAAATCTCTAAGCCCTTAAACCCTGAACCCCCCACCCCAAAACCCTAAACCCTAAATCTCTAAACCCGAAACCCTGCACCCCTAACCCCTAAACCCTCATAGTTTAGGCTTAAGTTTTTGAAGTTGGGGTTTCGGGCTATGTGCAGACTGCTGGGGAAGCTGCGCTATACAACGTGAAGTTTCAGAAGGTTTTGCAAAGACATTCAAGGCAGTCTAGGGTTTAGGCTTTTGGAACAGTATGTTCGGTCACTCGTTGATGCTAGTCTTGACACGATTTTTACCTGCACACCTTCCAGGGTTAGACGTATGGGCCGTTTTTGCGCCTGACCCTGGGTTTGTTGTGAATCTTGTGTATACATAACACCCTCCAAGCATGCTAGTGAGCCCTACAAACCCCTACTGGCTTTAAACCCTAAACCGTAATCCCTAAACCCTACAAACCCTAAACCCTATCTAACCCCATCATAGTAGTTTCCATTTCCTTTTCCATTCCTCCATTGAAACCTCAACCCCCCTCAAGCCATCCAAAAACTCGGCCTCCTGTTTCCTCCACATGCGTCACATCCTTACCTCAGCCACTGCAGTGGACTTCAGGGAACCCAGAAACTTGAGACATGTCTGTTGCAATCGCCGGGCGGACCTGACTTTTGAGAATTGATCCTAAACCCTAACCCCTAAACCCTAAAACCCCGTGTAGTGATGAGGTATAAAGCTTTGTGTTCTAGAATAGAGCGGTGTTGCTCTTTGATGAGCCATTGTCTAAACTCCTGGTAGCCATTTAACGGACCCTATAATACCCCCCTATGTAGCCGCCCTTTATGGAGTTTATTCAGACCAAATGCTGAGGAACTTCATGAATGAGTAGCTTAAGGTTGGACACAGTTGGGGGTATAGGGGGTATGTAGGAGATATTGGGTTTTCAGTCTACATAGGGTTCAGGTATTTACTGCAATTCCGCCTGTAGATAGCTCCCGTCCATTCAACGACCAGGTCTGCCCATCATGGAACCCAACAATACCTAGAGACCTGGTTGTAGCCTCAAACAGAGCCCAAACACTGCAGACTCCAAAACCTTCGAACCCCAAACGCTACATGCCCGAGCCCTGAATTCTCAAACCTATAATCTCTCATGTACCATGTAGGGGCCTACATAGCTCGCACAAGGCTCCGGTGCATTCTACTGCGTGTATATGCAAAATGCGCTAAAGAATCAAGTTGGTACTTATCAGGCCTGTACATACATAGGTCCATCTAGATAAGCCCAGCTTCCATTTCTTCATCTTTTCTATTTGGTTCTACATTGTTGGGGGCTTCTCTACCTAAACTCTAACCAAAAACCCTATATACACCCAACCGATACAAGCACTTCATTGGGCAACCAAATGCCTGAATGAACCCACCCGGTTGCGAATGAACCGATCCATGATGTCGGGCGTTAGCTCGGCGTGCAGTTTGTCATGATACTTCCTGAGGCTTCTACTCAGGGCTTATGGGTAAAGATATTACTTCAGAGCCTGACATTAAGCCAATTGGGGGGTCATTTTCCATATAAACCGCCATGCAAGGTGAGGTCATTGTAACTTGCCCAGTGTCTACATGTAAATGGGTTTCCCAAAAATTGGGGGTACTCTTTCTGGGGTCCCGATAATAAGGATTATTGCTTATCGTATAGTAGGGTCTGCATTGGGGTCCCCCTATTTTAGGAAACTGCCGAATGTGTTACAAGTATCGCAACTATTTTGACTATTACGGTCTCTACTGTTATCACGACTATCATTTTTGCCATTTTATACTTCCTTGAGCAGCCAGAGGGTCCAAGTACCCAATAATGAAGTAGCTGGGATGAAAGTATAAATAGTGACGGTACAGGTTTTGGGACAAGCATGTGCTTATTTAGTACTTGGACTCCCAGGGTTCTGCAAAACTTGAGAACCAAATGGAACCCTAGACCCTAAACCCTAAACACAAAAATACCATGGAACATGAGGCCGGATCTGGCTTTATGTTATACTGGGCTTTATAGGGAGACAAGAGTTTGGCAACTTCAACCGTCGCCACGCGGTTTAGGGTGTTGTGTTTAGGGTTCCTAAACCCTGAACCCTAGACTTATGAGGGGGTCCAATCTGTTGAAGTTGGGGTTGCCGAAGTGCCCTGGTTAGCCTTAAAGGGACTTGAATGCGAACCACCAAACAGGAACCCCCAAGAATGTAGTAGGAATAAATGCGATTATACAGAGTCCGGTAGAGTCTGGCAGGTATAGTACCACTATGTTCCTACTATTTTCTTGAGGTTCCCTGGTTGGGTTTAAGGTTTTAGGGGGTTCCCATTCAAACGATTTGAATCCTTGAGCTTCTAAGGCAAGCCTTTCGCCTGCAGCCACGGATTGGGGAATGGAGCCCTCTACCCGGTATTTCCTTAAAACTTGCAACTGAGGGCTCAGGGCTTAAAATCCTGCATCAAGAGATTCTAGGCCCTAAACCCTCGGGTCTAGGGTTTAGAGTGTAGGGGTTTAGGGTTTAATTTCATGCTTATTCTTGATCTTTCTTGCTTTATAGCGCAGAAGGAGGACCCCCTGTCGGACATTTCGTACAATCCAAAGAGGACAAGGGATCCCCAACTCCTGGATACCTCAACTACCCCCGCATCCCAGGGTTTAGGGTTTAGGGTGGCTTTAGGGTTTAGGATTCCCCCTTCATGAACCTTAACTAGGCCCGGCATAACCTTCATTAAGGGAAATAGGGGGGAAGCCATGACTAATAGGGACTCCGGACATGGGTTCAAGGAATTTATGGGGGGGTTCGGACGCAGATGCGTGTTTGAGAGAGGCTATAATGGTATGTTGCCAAAGGCCTACTCTTTTCTATTCATGTGCTTGCCCAAGGGTCCAAGTAGTCAATAATTACGTACTTGGGACTTGGGCAATAGTAATGATAGTATAATATCTGTGCCAGTGAATCACTATTGGGTACTTGTTGGCATAGTCTTCTAATGGCCGCTTATCGAACCCACGCCTACCTGCTTTTGTGCAGGCCTTAGGGTTCGAAGGGGTTTGCGTTCAGGGTTTATGGGCTTCGGCTTTGAGTCAGCCAAGCGAATTCGTAATGGGGCGAAGCACATGTATACGAAGCCTCAGATGCCACCGAGTTTCTTTGCCGTGTAGAAAGGAAAGTCATAGTCGTAGTCCCACCAGCTGTAGTTCGTGGACTCGATCGTCGTCACCATGTCGAAATTCTCACCCGCATTGATCATCTTGTCCCATATGCCAAAGGCCTGTTGCTCTGAAATGACCCCAAGCAATGGCTCGGACCAAAGCCTAGAAAACAACTAATCCCAAGGAACACCCCAAGCCCTAAACCCGAAGCCCTGAACCCCAAACCCACAACACAAAAAAATATCTTGATCAACCCGAGCGGCCGTGCCACTGACGACGCGGTAGTCGGTGCATGACTGCTGCAAGAGCTTCAGCAGAGGCAGTGACGACACGCCTAAGCCGATGACGCAGACTTCGCATTCCATCCTCACCACAGGCCCTGGATTAAAAATTGCTGCGGCGTAGGCGGCAAGAATTCAGAAGCCCTGGACCCCAAACCATTAACCCTGCTGTGGATTCAGCTACTGGGGAATTGAGCTTGTGGAGGCATGAAGCTATGCTGTCCTTTCACGGGGGTCGGAGGAATGAGCTCCTCCTACCTCTAATCAAAAACCCTGCCCACCTAATAAATAATCTTCCGAAATATATGAAGCTCCCCTTAAGTAGATAGAATAGGGAGTATATGGGGGTCTCATTATAATATAGCCAAAGCCATATTCGATCTACCTAAGGGGGACTATACTAAATAATCATGCAAATCTAGTGCCACCCTATACTTGGGGTAATTTGCTTTTGTTCTAGGGGAGGATGGTCTTCTACTCTTTCAGGGAAAGGAGATTTAACCCCAATCCTACACTCTAAACCTTTTAATCCCTAAACCCTTACCCCCTAAACCCTAAACCCTTAATCCCTAAACCCCTATCCCTAAACCCTCAATCCCTAAAGCCTAAACCCTAGACTCTAGCTCCGACGGCTCTTTGCCCTAGCCTGCTCCAACCCTGCAAATGTTACGAAGAAGGGCTGTGTGCCCTTGAATTCAGAGAAGTCCCTCCTAAGGGTTCTAGGACCCAAATAATAGGGTGTTAGGGCCCAAATACGATTAATATTAAAGTATTTGGGCCCTAACACCCTATTATTTGGGTCCTTGGACCCTTAGGGCTTCCTTCAAATTAACATGGAAGTGCATTTAACTTCGCTTCAACAATGCTTTTTAGGGTTTAGGATTTGGAGGGATCAGGGTCCATAGGGTTCAGGGTGTAGAGTTTTGGATTTACGGTTTACGCTGCACTTTCCTAGTTCCATGTTAGTTTTGGGGACCGTACGGTCGGCGCCTTGGCGTCACAGCAGCATCCCTCAGACATGACGGCTTCCGAAAATTCAGGCCCCGGCTTAGGGTGTACCTAGAATAAGGACCAAACCCTAGACACATTGGGAATGTATACATAAAAGGTTCGCCCGCTGTTTTAGGAAGCTGTCAGCTGCCACATGGGCCCCTAAACCCGAAAAATCCCACCCTAAATCCTCAACCCTAAGCCCTAATCCCTAAGCCTTAAACCTAAAACCATTAAACCCTAAATTCCTCAAGCCTAAACCCTAAGCCCTAAGCCCTAAACACTAAAACCTTAGAGTCCAATAGCCCAAAATCCCAAATCCGACCAGAGGATGCGGCTTAGGTGCTGATTGACCATCACAGGTCACTTCGAACCTCCGGCTGGTTTAGGGTTTTAGGGTTTAGGGTTAAGGGTTTAGTGTTTAGGGCTGGGTTTTAGGGTTTAGGGTTAAGGGTTTAGTGTTTAGGGCTGGGTTTTAGGGTTTAGGGTTTTGGGGTTTAGGCTTTTAAAGCTTGTGGGTTTAAGATTATGAGGGCTAGACTTGAAGAATTTAAGGGTTTAGGGAGTATGGGTTAGGGTTTTAAGGGTCTAGGTTTAGGGTTTAAGGTTGTGAGTGTTAGAGTTTAAGGGTTTGAGGGTTTAGGGGTTTGGGGTTCAAGGGTTAAGGGTCTAGGGCTCAAAGGATTAGGGGTTTAGGGTTTAAGGGTTTAGGGTCGGCATCATGGTGTTTTTGGTGGGTTTTCTGGAAGTAGGCGTGCCCGAATGGAAGAAGAGGGGACTGCCAGGGGTCCTTGCCAGATCCTCTGGAAGTCTGTGACCAAACTTCTACTTAGGTAAACTTCTACTTAGGTAAACTTCCTGGGGGTTGGTAGGGAATAAGGGAGAATGTAATCCTTATGCAACACATGCCTTAAGTCCATGCAAATCCCTAGTAAGTGAAGGTTTTCAGGGTATGCTTTTGCAGTTCAAACTCTGGGGTGTTAGATTGTCTGGCTCTCTTCTTCGATAACCAAGTCCAAAGGACGCGCAAGCTCTTGACCAGTGTATAAAGACAAAATAAGCACACCCCAAGAATTAAAGTTCTTTGGCGCGTAAGCTAGGAATCGGACTAAGGACCTCACCCCAAAGCAGATTGAAACGCTTAGTTTAGGGCTTAAGGCTCAAAAACAAGTCAAATTGAAACTGTGATCCTGCTTGGTGCGTATGCGCAGGTGGTTCGAAATCAAGGGTCCCTGGCCGAAGCCCGTGTTACCATGGGGCTACTATGCCCCACCCCCCGGATATGGGCCCCACACATTAAGGACCCTGCTGCCCATTCTTGGGGACCATGAAAACATATTAGGCCATCTTAGTTTCGGGGGTGCATGTTAGTCCCACTATGTTAGCAGGAATTATGCTTAGCTGAAGCTTTGAAGTTCCAACTTTGCGCCTCCATGTGAGCCATAGTCTAAACTCCTAGTATCCCCTTAATCACCCCCATCTAGTCCCCTATATACTCCCTTTATATATATATATATGGTACCCCCCCCCCAAAACCTACCTT